TACCCTAACCTTTGATTTGTGTCAATCATAGTTCCAAACCTTTCAAAAATATGCATCGGAGGTCCAAATAGATGGGTTTCCATCCATTTGAGTGTTAGTCAACCTAAAAAGTCAAAATTGACCAAATTCACTAAAGGCAAAATTGTAACTTTGCATATTACATTTAAAATAATTATAAAGAAAATAAATGAAAAGGCCACCCCAACCCACACACTCCACCCCAGTTCTCTTCTCCAGCCTTCCTTCTTCACCTCACACCACCACCCATCACCCATAGTCACCACCCACATCCACCAATCCCGAAGTCTCGTCTCCGGCAAAAGGTCTCTTCTCCGACGAGACCATACTGGGAACCGCCACACCGCCACCTTCGACCCAAGCGGTGCTCCACCTCCTACCCCAAAAATCAAGATTAATAAACCAGTTGGCAATCTCCTTCTTCACCCCTCAATCAGTTCAAACACCTTCTTCACCGCCTCCTCCTCTGTACCACCGTCTCCCTCAAAACTGTTCAATCTCCTTCTTCATCCCTCACCACCCAATTCGCCTCTGGCTTTGGGGAGACAAGGCCTTCAAATAAGCCTCCAATTCGAGATTAATAAACCAGTGGCTGATTTCTCCTTTTTCCAATCTTCTTGAAAGAATAAGCAAGGAAGATAAGTGATGGCCCCAAATCAATGGTTTTATTGACAAGGATCAAAATGAAGATCTCCTTGAAGCCAAGCGCTATTTTATTGAAGCTGCTGAAGTCCACTCCTCCATAAATGCTGGCAATAAAACGCGGAAAGCTTGTGCTCAGGCATCACTTGTATCTCTTCAGATTCGAATGCCGACACACAGTGGCTTAACCTCTCTGATACTAATGCACGACGAAGACTAGTTGAGCAGTCCCGGTTTCAAGAGGTGCTTTTTGTTGATGAAGCATATGGTCTTAACCAGCCAAGTGAATGGGCATTGGTTCTGTGGGATCAAATGCTTAACCCAGAACTTACTGAATAGTTTGTGGCTGAATTTGTTGCTGTGTTACCTCTCCCATCCTCAATGCTGGCTGAACTGGCGAGATTTTATAGGGCTGAAATGGCCATCACTTATCTTCCTTGCTTATTCTTTCAAGTTGGGGGCTCAATGTGTGTGAGTGAAAACCAGGGGCTGATTTCTCCTTTTTACAGCCTTCTTGCAGCCGCTTGAGGGGGCACTTGCCACTGTCATTTTCCCCAATTTTATTTTGATTCCGATAGAAAGAGTGCACTGAGAAGAAAGAGAAACTACGCAGTGAGTGGTTTTCGATTTATTTAAGGTTGTAATGGTCGAGTTGAAGAGGCCTGTTGACAGGGATGAATCACCGACTGTGGAGGTGCGACGGCGTGTTGGTGGCTGTGGGTGGTGACTGTGGGTGATGGGTGGTCGTGTGAGGTGAAGAAGGAATGCTGGAGAAGAGAACTGGGGTGGGGTGGAGTGGGGTGGCCTTTTTATTTCTTTTCTTTATAATTATTTTAAATGTAAAATGTAAAGTTACCATTTTACCCTTAATGAATTTGGTTAATTTTGACTTTTTAGGTTGACTAACGGCCAAATGGATGAAAACCATCCATTTGGACCTCCGATGCATATTTTTGAAATGTTTGAGATCGTGACTGACACAAATCAAATGTTAGGATAAAGTGCGTAAAAATTTGAAAGGTTTGGAACCGCAACTGCAATTATCCCTATAAAAAAATTACAGCTCATGGGCCAACCCAACTCGAACTGACACCCCAAAATGGACTTGACCAGAGCCTCAACTCGATCCCATCAAGACACGTGCTTGGGCTTTTTTCGAATCGAGTTCCGAGTCGACTAGTCATTTTGCCATCTCTAACTATGGCTCCAACAAGATTCATAAAATTCATTTATAATTTAAAATAAATTGCACGGATGGGTTATCAAATGTCATTTTCTTTTTGTTGTTAAATATCAAACATAGGACAGCTGTAGACTATGCAACAACCAAAGAACATCTTTTTAAGTTTTAGCACATTCTCGTTCAACATATTTGTCGATTTTTAGTTTCTACGCGTATTTCGCACTTCCCAACCAATTTTTGATAGGTCAACCTAAGAAAAAGACCAGATTTCCTACAGTACCAACTCCTGCGGTTCCCCCTTTTACTTCTAGGTTTTAATAGCCCTTATTTTTAGCCCATTTTTGACCCGGATTATTTAAAATTTATTTTTTTTCTCAAATTTATACTTACGAACTCATCTTTTAATAAAAAAATTTTACACATAAATTCATATTTTTTCCTTCCTTTTTATTCTCACATATTTCAAAAGCATTACTTCTCACAACATTCATTTTAAAAAAATTTACATCAAATATCTTAATAGTATAAAGTAATGTAAGAATAGGAGTTGTTAAAAAATCTACGTCAAACATGCCCTTAAAAGTATAAAATAATGTAAGAATATGAGTTTTCAATCAAAAGTAAAATGATCTGGCCTCCTCTAGCTCTTCTACCGTCTGAAAATCCACGTCATACTCTCTAGAAAAGCTCGTTTCTAAGATCACTTGTAAACTTAATTAAAGAGAAATTAGATGATTAAATATGTTTGTTTAGGATTTCTAAAACGACTTGTCGGTCAAGATAGTTGAATGATTTAGGTATGAGAAACGTGTAATGTATAGATGTTTTTGTTTATACTTCAGGGTCCCGTGGAATTAGTCGAGGTGCGCGCAAGTTGGCCCGGACATCCACGGTTATCAAGAAAAAAAAAGATGTTTTTGTTTATAAAAGTGATGTAATTTCAGTAGTTCCGATCTAATTCAAATAAAAGATCAAAAGACAAAAGTTCATGTTTGACCTCCATTTTTATTTATTTATTTATTTATTTTGTTCAAATTCATTTTCAATCATACACTTATAAATAATTTTGCTCCTAAACTTATAATTTTTTTCTACTTTTTCGCTACACATTCTAAAAAAAATCACTTTTTATAAAAATTATTATGAAAAAATCTCCACGATGTGTAGAAGCATTTATTTAATTAAAATAAATAAATGTTTGTATCTTTAGTAGTTAAAATTTTTTATTTAAGTTATTCAATGAAGTAAATCAAGTTGCATATGTTGAAAAATTTAACATGTTCGGTAAGTGTTTTAAATCGATGGAAATGATTAAGGATGAGTGAATAGCACATGTAAGTTCTACGAAATATGTAAATAAAAAGTGATTTAATTTTTAACAAGTCGTGAACTTAAATAAAAAGCATGTAACAAATAGCACTATTTGACAACCATTATCCAAAAACTCTTTTTTCTACGTACTCATTTTCAACCACACAATCACACGATAAAATATTCAAAATGTAAACTCAAAACTTTTTCTAACATTTTAACCACGCATTCTTCAAAAATTTAGGGACAGTTCTCTTTGTATTTGAGTTTTGTGTTTTGAATTTTGAATTCATTTTGGATTTTGTGCTTTAAGTGTCTATTTTGAGATTCTTGAAAATGTTTTCTTTTTTGTATTTTGAAAACACCCAAAATCGTTTTGTGTTTTCTTTGTAAATTTTTAACTTATTTTCAAAAACACGTTTTCAAAAATAGAAAAGAGAACGTGTTTTCACTATTTTGAAAAATCGAAAACAAAAAAAGGTTGGAAAATGATAAAGAGAACGGACTCTTATTTTTCAAAACTTTGTTTTTGAATTTTAAAGGCTATCAAACGGAGCCTAAACTAAAATTACTTTTTATGCTAAAATCAATTTGTTCCAACTGCTGCATATGAAAAATACTCCTCCATTTTTTTTTTTTTTGGGAAAATACTCCTCCATTTTTAAACCTTACGTACTGCAGCAATTACAGGAATGCCTACAGTAGGGATCTGCTAGGAACCACCGCCCGGCGATGGTTCTTATGCACTGAAATATGCTCCTCATCTCTCTCACCGTCGAATCAATTCTCCATTTTATTCCATTCTCTCTCTCTCATATTTGCACTCTCTATATATGAAATCACGCACTCATTATTTTGATCTTAATTTTGATCTAGTGTTTGTATTAATTTTTTTTTGCAAATGCATAACTTGGATAATTTTTTGAAGAATTTGATTGCAATTAATGCCGATTTGAGATCAAAGAATAATTTGCAGTTTGAAAGTGTTGTTGGAAGAGGTGGGTTGTTTTTGGAAGAGTCGGTTCCTGCATCATTTGTTTCTTTGGTTTCTTCAAGTAAATCGATTTCGGTGACGGTTTCGTGTTGCCGGAGGAGGGGGAGGAGCCGCCGGAGAGGGCGGCTGATTGGCGGGGGTAGGTTTTTGTCGGTGACACTTTCGTCAATTAAGGATGGTGAAGAGTTTGGTGCGGAGGTGTCAGTGTCTGGTGGCGTTGTAGGAAAAATTGAGGAAAAGAGCGGGGAGAGCGGGAATGGGAATGGGAATGGGAATGAGAGTGAAACAGTGGCGTTTAAAGATGTTGTTAACGAGAAAAGGGGAGGCTGCACAGAGGAGGTGGTACTCTGAACACTGCTAAGCATCTCTGGGCTGGCGCCGTTGCTGCCATGGTCTCGAGGTTTGCTTCTCCCTATTTATATATGCCTGCATAAATACAAAAGTATATGATACAAGAAAATGAGAAATGTTTGTTATAAGCTATCTGTTGTATTAGTTATTATTGAAAAAGGATAATATTCAGTGCTTATTAGTACATGCAATTCTTGGTTTTGATAAAAATCAGGTTTTTAGTAGATTTTTGATAAAAAGTTAATGAAATCTGCGGTTGAAAATGAGTTTGGAGATAAATAAGTTTTAAAAATGGGGGCGTTTGTTATCTTTCCTTTACATTGGCAGTGTCTATAAAGGCATTGTGCATTATGGCATAAGGACACTAGATGCTTAATGTACTTAAAATTTAATGACTGTAACTGTCGTGCTTGTGATCTTATTTTCCAAAGTTAGTGGAACTATACTTGGGAAGAAGAGAATCAAGAATATGACTAGAGGTTATTACAAAACTACTTGTGGAAGCCTAGCTTAAGCCAAGAGAAATGAACAATACATTGTGGTGATGAGAAACTGAACCCAGCTCAGGCAGTCAGGCTGGATCATCTGGGGTGATTGACAACCCCCATTGATGATGGTGATCGAAATTTAGACCCTTGGGGCTAGTGCCTAAGATCATCTATAACTCCATTGCACATTATCTATTCCTTCGCAAAAAGGCTAACTCAAATCTAATAAGCAATAGTTTATTTTTTAGCACATTAAGAGATATCTGAATATGCTTTTTATTTTCAGATTATGAGTCCGCCTCATTTGCCAATTAGCATTCCCTTTGAAATGTTTTAAATTCTTAATACATAATGGTCTGGATGACATTGTTCTAAAGCAAGCAACAAGCTAAAGATCCAAATCTATCATAAACTAGCATACGCGCTTACATAGAACACGGTGGACCATGTGTGATATGATCATCTTGTTTTTGGCTGTGCAATAACTAGTATACATAATCTAAATCCACCGAGTATGTTAAACTTCTGTATCTCCTGCACCTTCTTAGAATTGAATGTCCCCGTCGAATCTATGGCTGCAATATAGATTTACTTAGAATAGCTATTCAATTCCAAAAACTATCATAAACTAGCGCATAGTACTGCGATATATAGTGACGCTTTGTTTTGGCTGTTTGGCGACTTGTAATATGTAGCATATCATCTGTTGAGTCTGTTTAACTTATGTATCTCCCATCTCCGGCACCTCCTTTGTGTCAGAACTTTTTTTGCTCCATTGGAGAGATTAAAGCTGGAGTATATTGTTTGTGGTGAACAGAAGAATCTTCTTGAACTTGTTAAGACAATAGCATCTTCTCAAGGGATCAGAGGATTTTGGAAAGGAAATTTTGTCAATATTTTACGTACAGCTCCATTTAAGTCTATCAATTTCTATGCATACGATACATACAGAAATCAGCTTCTCAAGTGGTCTGAAAATGAGGAGACAACAAATTTTGAAAGGTTACTTGCTGGTGCAGCTGCTGGAATTACTGCAACTGTTCTCTATATACCTATGGACACTGTGAGTGACGTACGAAAATTTTGTTTACTTTGTGATTACTTGCTGGTGGCTTACCTTTTTCTGAAGATAAGTATCTAACGCTTTTAGATTCTGCTTCAGCGAAAGGCCTGTAAGCTAAGACTGATCAAACCAAACCATACTATGGAAGTTGGTGTATAATTATGGCAGTGCTCTTTTTTGCAATTAAAGCTGAAGAAAATCCTTTGAACTTTTGATGGTTCATCCTCCTCTCCGCTATTCAACAGTTATCAAATAATTGGCAAACTGTAACTTTTCATTTTTCTTGACACTAACCCTGAGGGTTGCTCAATTGGTTAGGCATTGGACTTGCTCCCCAATGGTCACCAGTTCGAGTTCCCTCAGGCCCACTGAGGTGAGTACCCGGCCGTAAACTTCAGGGCCCCGTGAAATTAGTTGAGGTGCGCGCAAGCTGGCCCGGACATCCACGGTTATCAAAAAAATAAAATAAAAAAAAATTCTTGACACTGACCACTTATTTACTTCAAGGGCATTTTGGTGCTCTTTGGAATTTGCTCTGTTATATGTAATTTATATGGAGAAATCGTTTTCTATTTTTCACAACGTGGAATCTAGTTTTCGTAGTGATATAATTAATGAGCAACATTCTAATTTCTATAGGACCCTCGTCCAACCACTGTTTTATATATGGGATGACCTGGGGCGAAGTTTGATTATTTTAGGAATTCTTATTAGGTCTCGCAGAGGCGGGTATTTTATTCAGAAGACTCCATCCTGTTGTAAATATGATCAAACTGATTGTTAACTTTCCTGATTTCCAGCTCCGGATCCATGTAAATGAGGATTTAGTAAATTATTGTAATGACAGTCCATAAAAAGTAACAACAAATCGAGTAATTGAAGCCTTCAACTCGATTTTTTTTTCTCTCAGTTGCTACATGTACCTATTATGAATTCGTAGTTAGAAGTTGTTTGTGGTTTTAATCATTTGAACGGGAGAAAATTAATTAACTAAGTTACAGAGTTATTTTTTGTTAAAGAGATCAAATCAACAAATTGCATCCTATACTTATGTTTGGAGAATATGTGTTTTGTTCATAATATTTCAGATCAGGACTGTTATGGTAGCTCCAGGGGGTGAAGCCTCGGGAGGATTAATTGGTACTTTCCGCCACATGATCCAAACTGAAGGATTCTTTTCTCTTTACAAGGGCTTAGTTCCCTCTATCATCAGCATGGCACCTTCTGGTGCTGTTTTTTACGGTGTTTTTGATATATTAAAATCGGTGTTTCTGGATTCACCAGAAGGAATAAAAAGGATTCAACATATGAAACAGCAAGGTGAAGATTTGAATGCTTTCGAACAACTTGAGCTGGGCCCAGTAAGAACTTTGATGTATGGAGC